AAAAATCCCCCCCCCCCCCAGCAAACAAAAGGTCTGGGAGAAATATCTAATCAATTTAAGTAGCTATGACAGTCAAAATTTTATGTTTTGCTTTGTTTTCTTTTGCTTTTTGCAGTCCTTAAGTGGGAAACGCTTCCCTGCATTGTTTCATTGAGAGCTCTTCAGCTCCAGGCATGCCTGAAGCAAACTGCTTCCCTGTTTGGAACTTGACAGGGTTTCTGAAGCTAGAGGCCATAAGCTAGCAATGAGGAAAACACCAGGCTTTATGTGTCTGGTAGCTTTGTAGTGTGTCAACTAGGTAAGCTGTAACTGTTTTCTGGAATTTCCTCACTGTATGTTTTGTAATCCAGTTGGTCTTTGTAATTAGATGCAGTGAAAAACAGATGCACAGGTGCCTCCCGGTCCTCACACTTCCCAATGGTGATTGCTGCCAGGCTGCAGATTGTCCTCACTGGTCCCTTACTTGGTGTTTATCTTTGTTTCCTGGCTGCTGGCCCTGATGCACATCAGTGATCCCAGGCCCACCACCAGTCACAGATGCAACAGCTTTTCATAGACTTCCCCACCAGCTCCACCTCATATTCCTTCCCACTTGGGAAGCTAAGAGTGACTGGCTTGGCAGGTTTCCCTGCCAGCTCCCACTCGTCCATGCATCCTGTTGCCTCAGGAGTGCTGATCAGGAACTCTGCTCTAATACTGCAAAGCCCCTTTCTGGACCTTACTTTCCCAGATCCTCTTGCAATTACATAAGATTTAATTTCTATAATAAATTTCTTATTACGTAATACCCAGTGGTTTGCTTCCTTCATTAATCCCTGATTGATACAACAGGCAAATTCAACCAAATATTCAAGGTACACATAATTCTCATGTTATACAAATTCTTCCACAGAACAGAAAAAGGAAAATACTCCCCACTACATTTTATGGGGTTGCTATAACCCTTACTTCTATAGTAGACAAGTATAGCACATGAAAGGAAGATTAAAGACCAAACTCAGTTATGTAAACAGTCTAAATAAAATACTAACAAAATGAATTCATCAGCATATTAGAGAAATAACACTTCGTGACCAAGTGGTATTATATAATAAATGACAGAATGGTTAAATATTTAAAACCAGTAAGTATAATTAAACACAGTAACAAAGTAAAAAAGAAAAAAGCATATTTTAATAGAAGCAGAAAAGATTTTTGATAAAATCCAGCATCTATTCATGATAAAACTTCTTAACAAAATATAAAGAAAAATAAAATTTCTTTTTTTTGTCCTTTTTTTGAGACTGGCCGCACCACGCTCAGCCAGTGAGCGCTGTGAACGCACCGGTCATCCCTATATAGGATCCGAACCCGGGGCGGGAGCGCCGCCGCGTTCCCAGCACCGCACTCTCCCAAGTGCGCCACGGGCTTGGCCCAGAAAAATAAAATTTCTTAACTTGATGAAAAAAATCTATCAAAACTTCCTAGCAAACGTCATACTTAATAATGAAATGCTAAAAGCACTCTTTTTAATATCAGGACTACCTTGTCCAGACAATCTTGAGGGAGGGAAAAGCCAGACTTGGTTTCGTTTTGGGGGGCGGGGGGGGGGGGGAATATTGCTTTCCTTTTTTTTTTTTTTTTTTAGTTCTTTTTGGAAATTTGTTTGTTGGTAAATTCTGCATGATCTCATCCATAAAAAATTTTTAAAAAGAAAGAAATAAAGAAAAAGATTAATTGGAAAAATGAAGATAAAGATGGGGACTAAGACAAGAATGCTCCACTAACATCACTCCTATTCAGTATTGTGCTAGAGATCTTAGGTGGTCATTTGACAGCCCAGTAATATTCCAAAGCAGTGTAAGGTTAGATTTTTTAAATATGTAAGGATTAAAAATAAGGAAATTACAGTTTCATTATTTGAAGATGATATAGTTGTCCACAGAAAATGTAAAATAATCTACAGTTAAATTACAAGTAGTAACACAAAATCAATACATCTCAGTAATACTATCTAGAAAATGTAGTTAAACATAGCAATTACAACAGTGATATAAATGTGAAGTAACCATGAATAAATCTAACAGGTGCCCAAGCTCATTATAGAGACAATTAAAAATGAAAGGTATTAAATATGGCCTTAAAGAAGATGGATAGGAAGTCTTAATATTATGAAGTTCTCAGTTCTCTCCAAACAGATATATAGATTGAACAAAATTTTAATAAAAGTTTTTTAAATAAAAATCTCATTTGATAAAAATTTTTAGTAAAAATTTTTTCCACAAAACTTGGCAAACGGATTTTAAAATTCATATGGAAAGGTCTGGCTATAAAAATGTAGATTTATCAGAAACTTGCTGCAAAGAATAATTAGAAACACTGGATAAAATACAAACAATAATTTATTTAAAGTCATCAGATAGCTACTAAGGCAATGAGAATTTGAGGGACTAAGATCTTAAAAAGAAAGAATAGATAATGCAAAGAGATGAATCCGACACTCCATGTCACTTTTCCTCTTCAAGTATATTCTAATTTGTGAACAGCAGACTGAAAGAAGAAGCAGAGAATAGCAGTAACATGGAAGAAAAGTTGAGCAGAGCTTTTGAGTCTTATGGAGCTCAGAGACAAAAATCAGAATTTAGGACCTGCCAAAGAAGAGAGGCCCTGATAACCAATCCAAGATTTCACAAAAGACCTTTGAAGAGCTACACCCCAGGCAAAAGAGCTAACTAGAAATAGTTTAGCCCTCACAAAGACACACAGATTTAAATGAGCTCATTCCCAAACAGGATTAAGGTGATTTGCCTCCATCTATTATTTTTGCGTGTGTGTGGGCTGGTTAGTAAGGGGATCCAAACCTATGACCTAGCATTTACAAGCCTGTGCTCTAACCAGCTGAGCTTACAGACCAGCCTGACCCCATCTTTAATTTTGTTACAAACCAAAGTGAACCCTCTCTGGAGAAACATCAGAGTCTCTGATTATGTCTTCAAATTTTTATGTGCAGTAAAAATTACCAGACAAGCTAGGGGATAAGACAGCCAAAACCAAGGGGGAAAAAACAGGCCAATTAAGCAGATATACAGGAGATCCAATTATTGAAGTTATCAGACATGGGTTTAAAAATAACTTAGGTTTATATGTTGAAGAATACACTGGGTGAGAAAAAGAATTTCAGCAAGAATTTGAATCTTTAAAAATAGTAAATTGGAAAATATAATAACTAAAACTAAGAACTCAAATGGGCTTAACAGTAGATTAAACACAGCAGAAGAGAATTAGTAAACTAGATCAACAGAAAACATTCATACTGAAGCATAAAGAGAAGAAAAAAGATGGAAAATACAGAAA